GTTGTAATAACCGTCGATGGTTAAGTAGTTAGATTATATACGCTGGAAGAGGAGATCGGATCGGAGGTCCGGGTAGCGTAACTGGCAACGCATCTGCACGGTAAGCAGGAGTTGTGGGTTCGAGTCCCGCTCCGGGCCGATTTTTTCTCCCAGCGGTTCCAAATTATTTAAATTAATTAAAATTATTTATAATTATTAATATTAATAAGAGATGGCGCCTAACGCTTACCTCTAGTACCAAATTGATTACGTAATTTATCTAATAAGTAGCATAAAACTAGCCCGATAGATTTTCGGCAGTCTGTTGGTTGTAGCTATAATTATATATCGGGTTGGAGATGTTTGTATATATATTACGCCTTGCCGGGGCTTGCGATGGCCGGTTGAGAGCCGTATGGGAAGTAGGACGTGGGCACTGAATGTGTCCCCAGCCGGCGTTGTAATAACCGTCGATGGTTAAGTAGTTAGATTATATACGCTGGAAGAGGAGATCGGATCGGAGGTCCGGGTAGCGTAACTGGCAACGCATCTGCACGGTAAGCAGGAGTTGTGGGTTCGAGTCCCGCTCCGGGCCGATTTTTTCTCCCAGCGGTTCCAAATTATTTAAATTAATTAAAATTATTTATAATTATTAATATTAATAAGAGATGGCGCCTAACGCTTACCTCTAGTACCAAATTGATTACGTAATTTATCTAATAAGTAGCATAAAACTAGCCCGATAGATTTTCGGCAGTCTGTTGGTTGTAGCTATAATTATATATCGGGTTGGAGATGTTTGTATAGAAATGTTATTAATTTAATAAAACATCTAAGTACTCAATGAAGACTAAATCCTCTCCCTCTTCCTCCCGAGGGGGAATTTCTAAAAATCCCTTCTCATGGCATACCCTACTACAATGCAGATAAAAACAAAAAATCGCATCTGAAATAGTACAGTAGAAGCCGTTCTTCTGGTTAAGCCTTGATACTCTCCCCCTCCCCCACAGGGGAATTTCAAAAAATCCCTTCTTAGTGTGTGTTTTCATGACGTACCCTAACTGTGTACCAAATTTCACCTCTTTAGATTTAGTGGTTTGCTCTGGGCGATGATGAATCGGTGAGTGAGTCATTCAGTCAGTCAGGTCAAGCAATTTTATATATATANCTGTTTTATCTTTGCTTCAGCGATTTCTTGCAGCAAACATTTAGAAACGGTTCGCTACATTATTGAGCTTCATTTAGAAATGCTTTGCTTTGTAGCGATTGAGCAGCGCTGCATAAAGAAACGCAATCACATTAAATAAAATGTAATGTAATAGCTATGGTTTAAAATATAATCATAGACAAAGTTTAAACAGATATATTAAGGCAAGCAAGCACATAAATGACAACAGCAGTAACAATACTGTCTTTTCAGCTGTAAAAATTAATTGAATTCTAAATAGCAAACATTGAACAAGATATTTTAAATGGAACATAAAAATTATGACAAAACATAAATGTTGATTAATTATTAATTCATGAAAAATGGCATCTTGGTGAAACATTCATTCAGTTTCCATCAGCCCAGTGATGTGGCCTTTGTGCATAATGTCTTTGACTTTGACTGCATTGATCATACATGCCTAGTATTCTAAGATTCCAAACAAGTATATTAAAAATTTTGAATAAAGTGCACCTCCATGAGCCATTTTATAGCCATTTATGACACACTGGTGATATTACTTCGCATTCACTTGGATCACAATTGTAATCATTTACAGATCTGTCTAAGATATAGCTGTGCTAATGAGTTTTACAGTAATTGGACAGTCCTATCAGGGCATTTAACTTTTTGGTTAATGATGTTTATACTGGAATCAAATACATACATAAACAAGCCTGGAATCAAAATGTTGGTCATGTAAAGGCACTGAATAAACTAAGATCAGAATTCCATGACAGGAGTTTATTCAGTGCCTTTACATGACCAACGCTTTGATTCCAGGCTTGTTTGTGTGGAGGCAACTATGTACAATTTAAAACAAAGGCTCAAGGAACACAAATATACAATCGATAAGAACATCGACAGCACTGTACTAGCAGCATAAGCACAACAACAGGATGTCAATGTCCAATGGGATCAGGTGGCTATTATCAAAACAATGATGAATAGACATGTGGTGAGGCATCTGGAGAGGTTGGAAATCTTCAAGGCGCACATGAGCACTGGTTGTATAAACCATAGAGACGTGCACATGTTACCTACTGCTTGCAGATCATTTTACAATAATTAATAATTCTATCAATGTTACAACTTATATTTATTTTTTTCGTTATTTTTTACCATATTTATATCATTTATTTATTTATATTTAGTTCACAAGGACAATTTCTGTTAATTTTTTTATATTTGTTCCATAATCGTATGGTGTTTTATTTTTAATGTTCAGTTTTATGTAATTGAGGAAGATTGTTTAAAACGATTGAAAACGTTTTTATGCTATTAAATTCTTGCTGGATTGACAAAGGTGTAAATTTTTTTTATCAGAATTAGATAGATGAAAGTTAAGACCAAATATGGAAATCTTAGAGGTAGGAGGTCCTGATTAACTATATATGAACTTCCAGTCAAGACTGGAAGTCATGTTATGTCAGTTCAAAAATTTTCTCCAGAACAGTGTTAGATAGATGAACAGCATGACTCTGTTGTTATCAGCAAAAGTATGAAGTAGAGGGGCAAGACATTACTAAAATTAAGAAAATATCTATAAAATTAATATACTTGCATATGACACCAAATGTAGTATAAGGAAGAAAACATACTGTCTTTTGGCATTAAATTTATTTACTTTAGGAAATAAATACATATAAGTACTTTCAACATTTCAAAATGTTATCCTCATTTGAAGAAAGAATACACAAAATTTGTGAATTTTATATATTCTTTTTTTGCTTTGCTTTTATATATTTAATTAATCAAGTAAGTTAAATTTAATGTCAAAAAATAGTATATTTTCTTCATTGTAGCATATACAGTAGAGCATCGATTATACGAATACCAATCAACCAAAACATCAGTTAACTGAAAGCGTTTCAGTCAGCAAATTCAAATTTCCTCCTCCCTACCAACTTAAACTGTAAGCTTACTTTAATGTACTACTTTATGTAAGGTATGTATTTATAAGATGTGTGATAGAAAATATATACAGTACAGTTTTGTGTTTAATATATTTTTTTGTAAATGATCAGTTATCCGAACAACCCAGTCTTGAATTGTTTTGAATAATCAATGCTCTACTGTATTTCAAATTAAATAAATTAAAAATATGATTAGAAATTGCAGCCAGTATTGTGATGATATCACAATAAATAATTGCTTATTTTTGTAGAGGAACTGGATATGTGAAAGCTTTCTGTAAGATGGGTGCTGCAATTACTGTCTGTGGAGAACAAACACATTCAATATCAGTTTTCAGGCTGGTTTGGACAAGTTTATCAAAAAATCCATTGGAATTTTTGTGTTACTTTATAACAATGGATTCACCATTACATATCTGTGATCAAGGAGCAGTCAAAACAGTGTAACCATTAGTGTGTTTTCTCTCCAAAGAAGGCAATAGTCATTCCATCATGGAATATCAAGACATCTATTTTTTTTGGGATGCAAACTCATTGGCTATCTTCCAAAGAATAAAATAATTTCCAAAAAGTACTGTGATGACCTTCTGAACTGTTTGCTGATCATAATTCATGAAAAATGTCTTTGTTACACTTTAACAATGCAGCTTCCAGTACCAATGGTGTTGCAACTCAAAAATTGGAAGAGTTAAAGTTTGAAGAAGTTGGCCACCCATCTTGTTCAACATATTGTTCACCCTCACCCTCCAACATTCATCTCTTTCCTAGCTTAGAAAAGTTTTTGTCTGGAAAAAGATTTCTGTCAGATGAAGAGATTAAGGCTTCAGTAAATGCATATTTTGAGGGCCTAGACAAAAGCCACTTCAAGAAGATTATTGAGAAGTTCTAGCATCATTGACCAAATCTATTAAATTAAGAAGGGATTATGTGAAGAAATAAAAATTTGATTTCATTTTAAAAATATTTTTTTTCTTTTTATTCTTGAGACTTTTCAACCAGTTGTTATAACAATAGACTAATAAGTTTACAAATGCAACATAGTATTAGAAGTTCAAATTATATCTGGTATTCTTTATGTAAATATTTAAAAATCTCAGATTGTCTTTTAAGATGACTTGTTATGATAAGTTTTTGTAAGTTATTAATTGTATAGGATAATTTTAAAATTCTTTATATTATTTTTCATAATATTACAAACTATCCATAAGAAATAAATTATAAGATAAGTAGAATAATCATAATTTATTATTAACTAATTTATTAAATTTATTTTAAGGTATCGAAGACGCTTTTATACACATTGCTGAAGAATTGGTTAATAATTATGAAAAATGTGATTTCGTTGAAAATTCAAGTTTCAGTTCCAATTTGAGCCACAGATCTATTGGATTGCATATTAATTCTGTTTGTAAAAAGGATAATGAAAAAGATGAAGAACATTTATTCTGCTGTTGATCCTTTATATTTTTGAAAATTGTGTATCTAGTCTGTGATAGTTTTATTAAATTCAATATATAATATATTAATGCTATTTAGTAAATTTGCTTTTATAAATAGTCTGGATCTTCCAGGTAAAGTCTTGCTTTTACCTGCCATTATCCAGACAGCTGATGTCTTGGTTTGATGTGCCAAATAACTATTTGAATTATATTTTTATAAGTGAATGTTTATATAAATAACCAAAATTGGATAAGACAAATCAATTGAATCAGAACTATATAACTCAAGCAATGTAATTTATTTCAAATGTTTTCAACCATATTTAAAGGTTTAAACAGATGCAGAGAACAGAATAGGATATGTGTTCTCAGCATCCCTTTAAACTTTTAAGTACAGTTGAAACATTTGAAATAAATTACATTGCTTCAGTTGTATGGTTTTGATTTAAGTGAGTTTATAAAAGTTTTATAACTTTTAAACTTTTCTTATTTTTTTCCCAGATTTTAATTATTATTTTGTATTTGATATCATTTGTGTTTACTATTCTGTGCCATAAAAAATAATCACTGTAAAATGTAAAAATCAGTTTTCATATTGCACTCTGTTATAATGACACTTTTATAATATTTAGATATTACTATGTTAAAAACTAGATGCAGTTTTTTTCAGTCTAGATTACTTGGCCTTAGATGGTATGCATTATTCAAAAATAAAATTTCTTAAAAATACAATTATTATAAATTAAATTTATTAATAATAAATATAACAAGTGTATAGTGGAAAAAATGATCTATAAAATTTAAATATAATATTTCTAGTATTAACTTTTAAATTGTTGATAAATACTGTTGATAAATTGATTATAATAACTATAATATTAATAATAATTGAAATATAATTTTCAATTATCCTAGTCCAAAATTTAATGTTGGTTTTAATTGTTTTATTAATTGTCAGCCTTTAAAAAGAAATATGCCAATCTATATACAAAGAAACTGTATTTATTCAATAACTTGACATTCAGTGTTAGTTGATGGCATCTAAGTTGAATTGCAGACATAATCTTTGGATTAAATAGAAATTCTCTCTTTTGGAGTAATAATTATATTATCTTTGATGCCTCCTTTAACTTAAATTGAATGAGATATGCTTAAAAACGCTCTTTGTTTAGGATAACTCCAAAGACAGAAATCTATAATTTTGAAATTCTGTGATTTGCAAATTAAATCATAAAAATATGTAATGATGACACAGTTGTTGAAAGCATTTCTTAAAAAAATGTTTTGGAGATTTTTAGCAAACTGATTAACACGATGACTGAAAAATATTGTATGTTTGTTCATTCATAAAACAACTTTATATGTTAGATTACTTAATAAATAAATAATGAAAATTTTCCAAGGTTTTGCTGAATGAAAATTAGCAAAATCTGTTGTGAATATATATATATATTTTTTATATTTAAACCTTAGGAATGTAACTTTAATTTAGCATGCAAATATAATAAATTATTATAATGTTTTTTTTTAAATAAGATTATGAACCATATTTTTTTAGAAAGTATTGTTGTCTTCCAAGATATAAAATATTAAAAAGCTATTGTAAACAAATCATATAATGGAAAACTTTGAGGAATAAGCATAAGAATGTTACATACAGTAGAATTTCCTTATTGTAATCACATATTCTTATCAATTATTCACTGTTATCAGTATTAGCATTGTCAAAACATGTACTGCAAGTTAATAATAATAATTAGAATTAATAAATCTTCAAGTTGACATTCTATAATTGTTTTAACATGTCTTTTTAATGTCAGAGTCAATAAGAATGTCAGAATTTCCACTAATCAGCATTATTTACTTTTGCTGTTTAATGTTATCAGTATAGGAAAATCCTAAAGTGATTACAATAAGTGGAGTCTATTGTATTTTTTTTATTTCTAATACTGATATCTATTTCAAAGCAAGCAATATTCAAAGTGTATTTAACTAGTTAGCTACTTGATTATAATGCAATTCAATTTATATAAAATTGAAATGAGTAATATGAAAGAAAAATCTATAAAAAAACAAAAATGCAATCATTTTGTATTAATAATTTATATAATATTTTATATAAAATATTTTATATATAACATTTTATATAAAAGTAATAAACAGATTTGTAGTTTTTTTCTTTTATATAAAATTATTTTTTTTAGTGTAAAAATAATAATTAAAAAGTTACAAAATGAAAAAACTACATATGCAGTAAAATTAAAAAATCAATTTATTATAATGGAATGTACAGTACAAAATGTATATTTCAAAGTTTAAATGTACAAATTATGTAAAATCATCTAAATTTTAAATAACAAATTCATATGTATTTGTTATGATTTTTGTTTTATGTTCATCATTGTATTATAAAAACTTGAAATTATTTGAATATAAAGATTACTGATTCAAAGGAATGTTAACAGTTTATCAAATGTGTTATACAGTAAAACTTCTCTTAATTCTGTAACTCAAATATTTCTTTAACTCAAAGAAAATGATGCATTTGGTAGGTCTCAACAGAATAGCATAGGGATTTAATGTCTCCAATTCAAAGTTTTTCCAGTCCCTTGGACCCTCAAGTTTTACTGAATTTTAGAGAAGTTTTATTATATTTGAATATTGACTTGTTTCTCAATGGTAAAAATTGATCAATTTTATTAACCAATTATAACACTAAAGTACAAAATGTATAAATGTTTTAATCAATTTGTTAAGTAATTGTAGTCATTTTCTATATATAGCTTTTAATTATTAAAAATAACTCTAGAATAGTAATGAGATTTTTTTAGAAATTTATAGCTAAACTTTATGAAAAATATTTTTCATAAATGATATGCAACTTGTATATATGTTATTGTTATCACATCAAATAATTTAGATATCTTGAATTTTTCCAAACATATCTAATATCTAGTTTTACATATAAAAATTATTAAATAAAAATGCTCCTACTCATTTTACAAACTTTTTTTTTTTATTAATTTAAAACTAATCTTTTAACATTAAAAGTTTTTAATAATATATTTATTAATAATTTTTTGATTATTAAAATTAAATTTTATATTCTTTGTATTAATATATGACTATAATTATGAAAATATTCATTATGTGTTTATTAAATTCTTACCTGTAGGATTATCCATTTTTATTACTATTTGCTCAATCTTTCATTTGTAGAAAGAACTAAGGGTGAATTATTGTTGTATGCAATTTAAAACATGTTTCATGCCAGGATAATAATTATTTTTGTTATAAATCTAAGCAATAAAGCAGATATTATTGTTATATTAATTTCAGAGATTAAAATTGTTTATTATAATTGTTATATATTTTTTACACATTATAAGAGATAACATATAAAATTATAAAATTTTCAAATGAATAGAAAAACTATACCACTTCTTGTATATTATGCATTGAAAGAGAAATGTACAATAACTTTTTTATGTTTTGAAAAATAAAAATAAATAAATTTGTACTAACTTATGAAGAAATATTCAAAATTTTTGAAACTGAATAATAATAAACTTTTAATGTAATATTATTTAATTTAAAGAATTAAATAATATTTTAAAATTAAATTTTGAATAATATTAAATACATATTAAAATATTTTTGTACTTACTGTATTACAATTCTTATGAAAGTCATTTTCAAATACAGTATTTAGAAGTTATTAATGTTTAATATATGTAATATAATTATGAAATGTGTGTGTGCATGCATGTGTATATACATATATATACTTTCCATTTGAAATTGGGATCAAATATTATGAACTGATATTTGTACTTACTTTATATTGCTCAAAGGATTGCATAATTCTGTAGACTTAATGTTTATTAAATAAATGGTGATACTTTTTGGTAAATGAAGTTTATTTTTAAATCAAATTTTTGATTTTATTTACAATACAGTAGATGGTATTTATTAATTCAAATTTATAATCTGAAGTTTTTCAAGATTATTTTAATAAATAGAATTAATTTAATTTAAAATATATGTTCTCCACTCAAATTAGTACTGGCTTGCCCCTGTACATCATACTTTCCTTTAACAGTAGACTCATGTTGGTCATCTATTAACTGCTTTCAGGGTAAAAGTTTTTGAATTGAAATAACATGACTTCTGGTTTGCATCAGAAGTTCATATATATTTAATCGGGGCCTTTTGACCCTAAGATTTCCATATCTGGTCTCAGATTTTATCTATCTAACTCTGTTCTCAAGATTAAGGAAAGTTGGATGGAGAGACATGACAGTGGGAATTTATATGTCTCTACAATTTTTTCAAACTGCAGCCCAATTAATTGTATTATTGATTAACAAAACATCCAAAGTTATTTTGATATAATTGATTAAAACTGTTATATGTATACTATATGTATAACAGTTTTAATTTTTAGAAGTCTAAATTAAAACTATTTTTTATCAACTATAATTGCTAACAAACTTTTTTTAAATTAAAAAATTATAAATTTTATTAAAAGATCCAAAACTAAGAATTTCTGGATCACTAAAAATTAAAATGAGATGAGATTGCTTTTGTGTAGCAGAAGAAAGAAGAAAAATATATGATCATTCAACAGATTGCATTTTATATAAATGTTCATGCCAAAACTGGAACAGATGGCCACCCTGGTTCAGTGCCGAGTTGTCCAGTGTGCCAAGTGGTTCCATTTCCTGAACACTGGGAGTTCGGTCATGGGTTTGTGCCTCGCCAGGACGGGCTGGCAACATGGATTTTTCCGGGTTTCATCCACATCTGTAATTCCTGAATAGGGGTCAGTTACCCTTAAAAGACCTCCTGGAAGGCATTATTCCTTGCATATGGCCAAGCAGTAAAACTTTGGCTGGATTATTGGATACTAACACCATTGCTCTATTGGAAAAATAAAGCCAGAAATGCTGGTACTCCATATAAGCTGAGACTTAGACATAGAAAGTTGTCCAGTGCCAAGTTGTCTGTTTTCAGATTTCATCTCCCTTATTAACTCATAAACCCATTGCCCAAACTTCCTTCATGATACTCATCAATTTTTATTAAGTACTGTATAGGTGTATATGCCCAGTACAACTAGGCATTAGTGTATTCAATACAATTTATATTACACACGATGTTATGCATTTGTCAAAGTATAGTACAAAAGGTTAATACAGAACATACTACAATAAGATACAGTTCTGTAGGAATATAACACATATATCAGAATGACAATATTACAAACGTATCTGGATAAGATTACACTATACAGTAGAGCATCGATTATCTGACACCCGATTAACCGTCACATCGGTTAACCGACCGTTCTAGTCGGCAAATTCAAATGTCCGCTAGTGATGTGGCGCTACAACATGTGGCTATGTCTTGGCTACTTTAATAGTATTTTTACGTGTTTTAGCTGGCAACATGGCTCGACCATGAAAGGGAGCCAGTATTTACACGAGGCTTAATTTTCTAATTTTTAATGATACAATAGCGACGATTATTATTTAAAAAAAATTTTTGTTAGGCTTAACATCGATGAAAATTCAACGCGAAGTAGGTTAATATCGATATACTAATTACATGAGATATACTACTATACCAGTGTTTCTCACCCTCTAACGAACCGTCACCCCCTTCAATAAAACTGTTACGTGGTATCGCCCCCTTCACTACAAAATTCCGATGCCGAGGGACAAGGCTAACGCCAAATTCGTACTGCATTGAATAGACTAGTGACTAGTATAA